CTTAGACCTTCGTCTACACATATGCAAACAAACATGTCCACAGGTCTTGAGAAAAAAAATTAACTTTGCAGAACGACATTATGATTCAACTTCCTATTCTATATTGAATGTATTATATATTGCGTTGTATAAGACTGTAGTTTTCTGTTTTAAAAAGAACATGCAGAAATAATTTGGAAAAGCAAGAAGCTTTTAAATACAATTTTACACATTTCTGTAATGCTCTGCCCTTGAATTTTAAAATATCTCTTTATTAAAGCATAAGCTACATCTATACTCCTATCTGTATTTTAAAGTTAACATATCCTGAGTGTCCTGCTCAGTGACTTTTCCCAAACCGAACACACTCTCTGACCAGCTGCCGGGTGGAGAAGCAGGACTCGCCCACGCCCAGACCCGTGCTCCCTGGAAATGGGCCCTGAACCAAGGGCACCATAGCCTGAGTTCGAATGTACATTTTTTTTTTTTTACTCGTTTTTATCTGGGCTTGAATTTTAAGCATGTATCAGATTTAAAAGACAATAATCATCACCAAAGCAGTTAGAATACATGCAGATATAGTGGCCAGCATTTGATGCAGCATGAATGCATCTGGCTTGTTCCTTAGCAGCTTTTGGGCTATCTTATAAGTAAGTCTGGATCACAGTGAACCTACTGGCTCCTTCAGATGGGTATTTGAATTTTTTCTAATTGTTGGCTAATAAGCCAACTACAGGAGAAAATTGGATGTGTATTTGTGCATGTAACTTTGAGATGTGTGTTCTTTAAGGATAAACGCCTGCAAGTGGAATTGATAGTTTAAAAAAAAAAAAAAAAGCTCAATTGATGAACATTATTTTAAAACTACTCTGCCATCATGGCTCTCCAGAGAGAAGTAACTGCTCAGTTTCTTCTTCAAAACAAAAGCCAGGTGCTGGGTGCAGACCTCCTCACCGCAGCCCCTGCTGCTGGCAGGCCAAGCCGAGCGGAGCCTGCGGCAGGTGCCTGTGGCCCAGCAAGCAGATCAAGGAGCACCCCACCCCACCCCACCCTTGCCCCCACAACCTTGACACCCCTCTCCGCAAGCTTGCAAAGAACTAAACACAATCCCAAAGACAGCAGCGGGGAGCCTGCAGTGAGACGAGGGCCCTGGAGGCCTAGTCTTCCTTCCGCTGTGGACTGGGTGTGAGCCCTCGGTGAGGGCAGTCGCCCTGTCTGGGCCTTAGTCCCTTATGGTTCACATCGGACATCGCTGAGCAAGGAGCCCACCTTAACAGTGAACCCTGGAGCAGTGTGGTCCAGGGGACCCTGGCCCGACCCCTCCTCCCCGCAGCCTGCCCTTGAAGTTGATGGGCAGAAAGCATCTGCTTCTCTTGAGCACCTCTCCGCCCTTCTAACTCCCACCTACCGCACCTAGTTCTGCTGGGCTCTCCAACCCCACAGGCATCAAGCATCTCAGATGCTGGGCAATGGTCCCAACGTCCCTGTGTCACATTGTGTGGCTGCCAGAGGCCCCTGCACAGAACTTGGTCTGTCACGGCCCTTCTTTAAGGGCTGGGATGGAAAGCAGGTGGGACTCTCTGCTCGTTGGGAGCTGGCTGTTTGGGGTGCAGGAGGTCACTCTGTAAGTGCAGGCTAAGGTGGGATTCTTTTTTGGCTCAGGAGCTCTGATGCTGCGAAAGCCCAGGACAGGGAGCTGAGGCAGGATCCTTGGGCCTCTCCAAAGGGCAGGAAAGCTTCATCAGGACCCCCTCTCCAGTTCAGCACATTCTCCTTGTACTTTTCTTCTCGGACCATCGAAGCTGAGAGACAGTAACACAATGGATGGACATGTGGCAGAGACCATGATGCTTCTCACCTTACCTTAGGTTCAAGGTCGCAGGACTTGAGGCCAGGGTTCCTGGGGTTCTACTCTCAACAGAAATGGCAGGTGCTAGTGAAGGCAGCTGGGGAGTGGCCAGAAGACCCTGCCTTGAGGCACCTGCTGCCTGGCTCTGGTGCCCTGGTGCTCACCAGCCTCTCAGGCCTTCTCTGCACCCACCACATGGACAAAGGCACGCTGTATGGGCAAATGAGGATACACACGTCTTATCCTTATTTCTTTCAACTGAGCGTCAACATCTTTGCTGTCTAGATGGGCTTTTATGCTATTGCATCACAAGAGCCTTTTGCATTTTTTGCTTAGGACTTTATTTTTACAACCAAGACATTTTTATAAAAAGAAGGGAAAGTGAGAGAAGAAATAGACAAGTCATGAGATGGCAGAATTGAAAGGCAAGGAAGTTCCTAATGGGAGGTGACATGACCTCCTGCACCCCCAACCACCAGTTCCCAGCCCCAGAGGAGGTCCACAGACACGCCCACGATGAGAGCCGGGTCAGCCCTCCCGCTGGGTCTGGTCCCCGGGCTCCCTGGGAGGACGGCCAGCCCCAGCCTTGGAAGGACAAGGGGAGCCATGCCAGCACTGCCCCAAGTCTCAGGAGTCCAGGTCATGGCCCAACAGGGCAAAGCAACTTGCAGATGGTAGCTGGACGGCCAACACCACAGGCCCTGGGCTGGGCCAGGCCGGGCAGGAAGCGGAAGTGGTGTGGGTGGCTTTTCTGACTCAGTCCTCCGTGTGCCCGGAGTTGCAGGAAGTGCCCCGGGGCCAGATGACCAACATGCACGAGGTCCACAGGAAGAACTTGCAGTGGTGAAAGCAGGCAGTTCCAGCAGCTCAGTGAAATTCCCAGGCAGCGTGTCCCTCTCCCTCCTCTCTCCACATCTCGCTCTTCCCTGACCAGGTAGCTCTGTCGCCGGACACCACAGCATAGTCTCTGCTCATTTATGAAGCCTAGAAACAACAGCAAGTTGTGAAATCACTTATTTTTAGGCAAATGCCATTCAATTTCCTATAACAGAGACAAATGGCAAATGAGGATACAGGGTTCCCCTCCAAGTTAGTAGCCTGGAGCCAGGAGTTTGGGGTTACTATGTTTTTAGGGCCCATCTTAGTCATTAAAAAAATTTTTAAGCTAAAAAAAAAAAAAAAAAGGCACCCGAAAGGACACTGGCTCTGAATGGTGTGACTTCCTGCAGTGCCTTCTAAGATGGGCTCTTTGCAGATGCACACTGGCCCAGGAGGCGGCCCGTGATAGGACGGTTTTCTAAGGCCAGTTAGAGGCCGGGAACGCAACTTGAGTTTGGAGCAGCTTGTCTGTGAGGCCCACGGGCTGTTTTGTCCACACCTGGATCGTGATAGCAAAACCAGAGGTGGTTTTCAAACTTTTGAAGCCACAGATCCTTGTGTTCAGATGATTTCTCCCAGGGAAGTGTAACCGTAGGCAACGGATGGGAGCAGAGCTGTGAGCCGAGGCTGAGGGCGCACACAGGGCCACACCCAGGACCGCCCTCAGCTCCGTCTCTGTCTTAGTTGATCCACAGACCCCTTGGGTTTGCCAGGACATGAGGTCCACAAACTGGGGTCAAATCACTGGGGAACGAGTTGAAATGAAGAGGGGGCCAGAACCACAGGCGGTTCCCCAAGGGGGACTGGTTCTCCACAAAAGAACCTTCTGGAGGCCTCGGTTTAGACAAATACACTCGGGGTTACTGTCTTGTAGGTAGGGGGCGGATTCTAAATTCAGCACGTAGGTTGAAGATTGTACCCAATCAAAACTGTCATCGAAAACTCCCCATAAAATACAGCAGGCATGTTTAAGCATCTATACATACAAAGAGGGTATATATAATAAGGTGGAACACATCTTGTGGAAAACTTATAATTTTAGAATATTTTAAAATTTTTGTTTCTTGGTTGTTGGGCTTGTAGACTTGACTTTCCTCAGTGACATGAGTCTGTGCTTCACTCCCTGGGACCCGGGGCTGAGCACGGGGTAGTTGCTTACCCCAGTAAGTCCTCACAATGGCCACGGGGTTGGTACTGCTGTCCCATTTTGCAGATGAGGAATCAGAGGCTGAGAGGGGGGAAGCCAACCGCCTACCATCACATGGTGGATGCGTGGCCGGCAGGATTCAAACCCAGACCTGTCCCTGTATGAGAGCCAGAGCTCCCGGGCATGAGGCCCTGCTGCCCTCTGCAGTCTGGAGGTCCGGGCTTTCTCTCTTCCCCCCCCCCCCCCCCCCCCCGACAACCCTAATGAGATGGTAGATGTGAAACACTCTCTTTTGAGGAAGAAAAACCATCCAATCCAAGAACAGTGCCCATAGCCCCACCGGGGTCTGGAAGTCCTTGAGGCTGGAGCCACTGACAGCCTCCGGCCTCTCAGTCTCCTGGCTTCTGCCTGTGGTTCTACAGCTGTGTGCCCAACGGACCAGGTCTTGTTAGCCACGTCTGTGGGAGTCAGAGGTGGGTTTGCCAACTCCTGGGAGCCCAATGGGCTCCAGGGTGGAAGACGGGTCCACGGAAGACAGCCCAGCACCCAGCCCAGCAGGGAGAACACTGCCCTAGAGTAAGGTGACCAAACATCCCGCTTTTGGCGAATCTTTAAAAAAATTGGGACTTTTCTAAAACACCACAAGACACGGGACAAATTGTTAGAAATCGGGACTGTCCCGCCAAAAGTGGGACATCTGGTCAGAGAGACCCACTTGCTGTTGCTTTCAGCTCAATTCTGCTCTTTCCTGTCCCAAATGCTTAGAGCAAGCCTTTCAAATGGTAAAAATAAGCCTCCTGCGTCCTGCAGGGCCAGGCTGGACACGACGATGGGTGGGATGGAGTTTGGGTTAGTCTTCCCTTTCCTTTCGTGCAAGAGCTGCTTGTTACCGTCAGGAGGCCTGAGAGCTGCATCTTACCAAACTTGAATACACTTAGCTACTCATCAGCATGCTTGTTTGCTGTTGGTTTACGTTTCCGGAGCTCTGTCACCCCTGGGTTGATACACCCTGTGATTTTTGCGAAGGTGGTGCCTGGCTTTGGCCCCGTGCACGAGAGGGAGAGGCTGTGAGCCGCAGCAGGGGCCGAGGAGCCAGGACCACACCCAGGGCCCGCCCTGGGCCCTTTCCCAAGGCCCACTACTTACTGCTTCATGAAGCGGATCCGGGCTCTCCTCCGCTGGCCTGCGGGAAGAAACCAACAAATCCGTCAGCAGGGACCGTGGGCCGCTTGCCCCCAGCCCCAGAGAGTGAGAGGACCGCTCACCCCTCAGACACTGCTCTAGGGCCTGGCTCTGCTTCCGCTGCCTGTGTTTTAGCCCCTTCGTGCTCACAGTACACCTGGGAGTCGGGGAGTACTCTTATCATCTCCATTTGCCTACGAGGAAACTGAGGCACGGAGCAGTACGTTACAGAGTCACTTGCCCAAAGTCACGCAGCTAGTAAGTGGCAAACCAGAGCTCAAACTCAGCTCCTCTGTGGATCCTTAACCATGCCGCTTCGCCCTTCACAGCAGGTCGGAGTGAGGGCTGGACAGACAGGTGGCCTTGAGCTAGAGCATGTGTATTTGGGAGACACGCAAGGTTTCCCATTGGGATGAAGGAAGGAAACATGAACAAGACTATTTACAAGTTTACCTCATCCTGCATTACTTTAGAACCACATTTAATGACACACATAATGTATTAAACAAATAACTACAGTTAACTGAAGTTAGTGTTTATTGTTTTTTAATTAATTAATAATTTTTTTTTTTTTTTTTTTTTTTTTTTTTTTTTTTTTTTTTTTTACCAGTGAGGTCCTTGATCATTGCTTGGCAATGGGGGGAAAAAATAAAATAAAAATAAAATAAAGATAGGAAACAAGTTTGCAACCACTGAACTCCAATGGAGTTCTTAGAGCTGGGTAAATGGATCCCTTTGTGGGTGCCCAGGACACATTCCTCCAGGGAAACTGTCATCACATGCTCAGAGGAGTCTGTGACCTACAAAAGAGCCACCACTCTAGCCCGTTCGCCTGCAGGCCGCCCTCCCATGTTCTAGAACCCGGAGAGGGTGCGTGCCAGCTCCAGGTGGCACCGGGGGGCGGGGCTCTGGGCCCCATGGCAGCTGTGCGGCCTCCCCTGCAGCGGTGGGGGCGGGGAGGGCGTAGGGGATGATTCTATCTGGGGAATGGCCCAGAGCAGCAGCCACCTCCGAGCTCCCCTTCAGCCTCACAGACAGGCGGGATTTCTAGCTTCTGGAACATAACCCAAACCCCACTTCCTTTCGCTTCCATCCCGACTGCCCACAGGCACTTCCGCTCACTAAGCACGTACCCAGCTGGGCATGTGGGGCAGAACTTCACCAACAGCAGCCCTGGCAGGGAGGGAGCATGCCCCCTGCGTGCCCCTGGGAGGCTCCAAGAGGACAGGGCCCGCACCCAAGGCCACTAAGTCAGGGAGTGGCCGGGTTGGATCCAATCCCAGGGAGTTCTGACTCCAGGGACAGGTGGTCTCTGAGCCCTCCGCTTGGTCAGGCCCAGAATCACCTAAGGAGCTACTCCGGGCTCACATCTAACTTGCTCCCCTGGAGAAGGAAGGCTCCTCAGGCACACCCAAGGCACACAGGGCTGGCCATGATGGCCTGAGAGGGGACGACTTACAGTACAAGTGACTGGCCACACCCAAGGCCACCAGCAGGATCACGGCGCCCGTCACCAGCAGGCCGAGGGTCAGGGGGCCACACGGCGGGCCTGGGGGGCACACACATGGAGCATTTGAGACACGCAGATAAACACAAAAAGGGGGAGATTAACTAAAAGCCCGCCCGCCAGAGAATACCACTGTCTGTATGTTTTCTTCTAGACTTTTGTTCCCTAGGCACTTCAACCACATGGAGATGATTTTATATGTAATTATATTTTAATTTGCCTTCCTGAAGGGTCGTCACAACTGAATGGGCCACGGCCACCTCCCCAAACGTGACTTGAGGGAAAGCTGATGCTCCCCCTGCAGGGAACCAGCAGCCAGAGCCGCCTAGGCGACAGGACAGGCAGCCCAGCTTCCTCCCTCCCCGGGCTCTCCCAAGGCCTGATCTCCCCACGCTTCTCCTGAGGCAGCGGCTTAGAAACGGACCCCAGGCCCTCCCAGTGTCTCTCAGAGGACAGCCCTAAGCCTCAGGAAGCCGGTCCCTCCACGGGGGCCACCAGGCTTTTACTCATGATATGAGCCTTGAGGTCTGACTGGGTGCCCTGCCGAGTGAAATGCCTGTGCATAGCATCTCATTGACTCCTCCTTCCCATTAGCCAGTGACATCCCCATCTCACAGGTGAGGAAACGGGGGTCCAGAGAGGTCACCCAGTGCAGGCAATGGTGCACAAGGATTCCAACCGAGGCCTGGCTGATTTACCACCAGGTACACTGCTCTGAGCATTCTCTCCCCCACTCCCCCCCAATGCAACCACCACCTACTACCCACACCCTCCACTCCACGTGGCCACCTGCTTGTTCTAAAGAACCTGCTGATGTTGGATTTGCACTTGGCCCAGGATTTAGGAAGGATTAATATTAGAATTGAGGCAAGACACCAGGAGCCCTTTCGTCCGCCTTTTATAAAAGTCTCACTGAATTCACGATCATCCGGCAGTCCTGGCAGGAGGATGGACAAAGCACATTTCCTCTTGAGGGTAAGCCCATCCGAAGGCTCTGGTGCCTGGGCTTGTGTCTTTCTGTCACCGTGGTGTGGCGTGGCATGTGTGTGGGGGGTACTGGTGGTGCCATGTTGCTTGGGGTTTTCTGATGCTCTTCTTACTGTGACCTGACAGCACAGCTCCTCCTCCCATCCCCTAAGTCCCGTGAGGGGCCTCTCCCAGGCTCCTGGGTCTTCACATGTATTTAAGGCAAAGCCCCCCCAGCAGCAAGAGGCCACTGGGGCGGCTGCTGTGGTTTGCTTTCTGGGTTGGAGCTGATGGCATTTTCCATTTGTCACCATTAACTTCTGGGGAACAGAGATCAGTGTTTTTCCAGAAACACATTTGGCTTATGAGTTCAAGAAAAGTGTGTGTGTGTGTGTGTGTGCGTGCGCGCGTGCAGATTGTATGTAACCGTGCATTTGTGCGTGTGTGCGTGTGCATGTTTGTGCTCCAGCTTCAGTGTCTGGTGCTCACAAGCAGAGCAGCGAGCTTGTTCGCTCATTAACAAACATATCAAGCACATACGGTGTGGTAGGTCTGAAGCTAGGCATCAAAAGTGGGAAAGTTTAACGTTCTGTTCCTTTGGGTGGGGCTTTTATTTGTTAGCTAACACCTTTATTGAGATATAATTCACATATTACAATATGTTTCATGTGTATAATTTCGTTTTTTTTTTTTTGTTAAATTCACAGAAATGTGTAATCATCCCTACAATCTGATTTTAGGACATTTTTATCTCCCTCCTCCCCCAAAGGAAATCCTGTACCTATTGGCAGTCCCTGCCCAGCCCTCCCCCAGTTGCCCAGCCTCAGGCACCCACTAGTCTACTTTCTGTCTCCTTGGAATGTCACATTCTGGACTTTTCATATTGATGAGAGCACATAATGTATGCTCTTTTGTAACCAGCTAGTTCCACTGCATAACCTTTTTAAGATTCATCCATGTTGTAGCGTGTACCAGTACTTCATTCTTGATTATGACCAAATGCTATTCCATTGTACGGCTCGTCCACATTGCGTACATCCACATCATGGTGGGCATCTGAGCTGTTTACCCTCTGGGCTGGTATGAGCGCTGCTGCTGGGAAAATTTATGTGCAAGCTTTGAGTGGACATGTCTTTCATTAGGTTTTGTCCTCTGACGACTGGTGGGTGTGTCCCCCTCTAGACTGTGAGCTCCTGGAGGACGCAGCTTCCCCCCTGGCCCCAGCTCAGGGCCAGAGAGACAGGCTCAAGACTGTGGACCTCGGACAGGCTTGTGGAAGGACAAAGAGAAGGAAGGGAGGGAGGGAGAGAAGGAGGGAGGAAGGCAGGCAGGCAGGCAGGTGGTGAGTGACAATGCTGCGTTTCTGAGAGCCCAGGGGGACAGGGAACTCACCCTTCCGAGGCTCCGGGCTTGGGGGCCGGCACCTGATCTTCTTAGGGGTGGACTTGGTGGTGGGCTTGGCGGTGGTGGGAAGGACGTCAACTACAGAAAACAAGCGAGACACAGACTTGGCCAGGCGAACAGCAGGTGGACTGAGAGACAAGACCTAACATTGCACCTCTCGCCTCCAGTACCGAAGTCCTTGTGACCATCCCCTGGGCAGCTACAGAGCGTGAGGGTCACAGGAAAACAAAGCATCTGAGTGCTTCCCCAGCTCTCAGACCTATCTGTGGGCCTAGGTCAGGGGTCAGCTGGGTGTCCTGGAGAAAGAGGGGGCTCTGGAGCTACACAGACCCAAACAGAACCAGCACCCCTGACCAACCTGTGTAACCCGGGGCAAGTCAATGGCTCTTCTGTGCCTCAGTGTCCCATCTGCTAAAATAAAGGTGGTCTCCACCTCCTGCTTGAGATGGTTGTGAGAATTAAAGGGGCCATGTGTCCAGCTGAGTGTGCACTAGACGCGGCTCTGCCCGGCTGGAGCCTGGCTCCACTCGAGCCGAAGCCGGAGTCCCCGAGCCCTGCCGGTCCCTAAGCGAGTGGGGGACTTGCATGCAGGTGGAATTTGTTGGGGGTTCCTTTCCTTTTCATGTGTCTTTAAAAATCATATACTCTCAGAGCCAGAGGGATCTTTTTTTAAAAAAATATTTTTTTTTATTGATTTCAGAGAGGAAGGGAGAGATAGAAACATCACTGATGAGAGACTCACTGACGCTGCCTCCTATACTCCCCATAATGGGGATCTAGCCCACAACCAGGCATGTGTCCTGCTCAGGAACTGAACCGTGACCTCCTGGCTCATAGGCGGACACTCAGCCACTGAGCCAGGCCGACTGGGCCAGAGGGATCTTTAGTCTCAACCTTTCATTTTAAAGGTAGCCCTGACGAAATTAAGGGGAGGCCCGGCCTCCGGGACCCTCCGTGGAAAGTGCTGGGCTGGACCCAAACCTCTCTCCTGTCTCCCAGGTGGGTCACTCCTCTGTTTTTGTTCTAATTCAGTGTCACACGCTCAAGGTGGGGATAAAATAGGACAAGTACAGGAGCAGAGGGAGCCGCCGAGGCCTGAGGCGCAGAGGAATGGTGTAAGCACATCCAGCCTTCGGCTCTGTGGGATGAGGAAAGACTTTCTCGGAAACGATTTTCTATAAAACGAGAGGAGAGGGAAGTGGGCAGCCCAGGACCTTAAACTCTGGTTAAAGGGATGGGGTGGCAGTCAACAAATCGGTCTCTTTGGGGCTGGCTTCTTGCATATAAAAGTGGGCCCTTCGGACCCTCCTGACCCTCTGCCTTCCCGGGGACCCTGTGCCTCCGCGGGGAGAGGGAGAGGACGTGCCCTGCCTGCTCCAGGAACTTTCTAGAAGAGCCAGTTAAATAGAACAAACAGCCAAAACCAGTTTGGCTCTCTGGATAGAGCGTTGGCCTGCAGATTGAGGGGTCCCGGGTTCGATCCCGGTCAAGGGCATGTACCTTGGTTGCGGGCACATCCCCAATGGGGGGTGTGCAAGAGGCAGCTGATTGATGATTCTCTCTCATCGATGTTTCTAACTATCTATCCCTCTCTCTTCCTCTCTGTAAAAAAATCCATAAAATATAAAGTAAACAAACAAACAAATAAATAAATAAATAGAATGAACACTTGCCAAGCTCTCCCGAGAGCGAGTGGCAGTGCCCAGCACTGAACCCCACAGCTTTGGGGATGGGCACGATTGTCCCCATTTTACCCTCGTGGAAGCCCAGGCACAGAGAGCTGAAGTCACTCGCCCCACGTCCGAGACAGTGCACAGCGGAGCCGGGAGCTGAGTCCAAAGGCCCTTTTCTAGGCTCTCGCTGCCCACCCCAAGAAGTGAAGCTCACAGGTTGACCCGAGGCCCTGGTCACCTGCCTGCGGGGACACGAGCGTGGCAGGAACAACCCCATCGGCTCCAGTGCCCCGGGAGCGAGCGAGGGGCTGGCCCCAGCGAGGGGTCAGCACGCTCTGCCATGCCTCATCCTCACGGCCCTGGCCCGTTCCCTTTACTTCATGCCCAGGAGGCGGCCCTGCAGGACGGCTCCTTGGCCGGCCTGACCGGTGCCCTGGGTCTGCGGGGGTGTGTGGACAGGCTTGTCCACTTTAATTTCTTGTCCAGAACACGTCCCCTTAACTCTTCCTGATTCCCCGCCCCTGCCCAGTTCAATCTCCCTCTTTCCTCCTCTTTGAAAGAGACAGGCCTTTTGACCCCATGGTGCGCGTAAGGGGCCTGAATCCTTTTCCTATGCCCGCCCCCCCTTCCCCCTTCAAAGCGCCCTGACTTTCTGGCGGGAGGGTGGGCTCGGCTCTGGCCCCCCTCCCGGCCCCCCGGCCCTGGGAGATGCTATGGTACCTGCTCTGGGGAGGCCCTGCCATCCTGGGAGCGGGGTGTCGGGGGGCGGGGGGCGGGGGGGGATTGGAAATGTTGAAAACAAGAGTGCGTGGGTGGCGGTGGGAGCTTCTGAAAGCCACTTGTGCTGTTTCCCCATCCACCTCTCTCAGCCCCTCACGTCGCACGAATGGAAAGATGTGCCATACAGGGCAACAACAATAAAGCAAACCGAAACCCCCAGCCCCCCAAGCCGGCTTTCAATACAGGAATCAGCGGCCCCCAAGGCCTGCTCAGCGGCTGCCCAGAGACCACCGCCTCCCTCCTCCCGCTCCGAGGCCGCGGCTGGCGAGACGCCACGGGGCATCGCTCTGATGCTGCCTTCCTCTCTGGGCTGCCGTCCGCCTGTCCCTGCTCAGCCCATGCTGAGAGGTCAATTCCTGGGGGCCCCTTGTTCCTCTCAGTGCCCCCCGGTGGAAGGACAGTGGGAGCCTCGCAGGGGTTGGCCCTGGCACGGGCTGGCCTGAGGAGGGGCTTCAGTCAGGCACGGGCCTGGGAGAAGTTCTGCCCTGACTCCTGGGCACCGCTGGTGGCTTTTAATCGTCACTGCGATACGGCAGCCGCCTGCACATGTACACGGCCAGTCTGACCCGAGCTAGGCTCTGCATGTAAAACACACGTTGGGTGCTCAGCAGGCAAGGGGAAGATAAAATATTTCAGTCATGCCCTAGCTGGTTGGGCTTCGTGGATAGAGCGTCAGCCTGCGGACTGAAGGGTCCCGGGTTCGATTCTGGTCAAGGGCGCATGCCCAGGTGGTGGTGATCATGCAGGAGGCAGCCGATCAGTGATTCTCTCTCACTATCTTTCTCTCCTATCTTTCTCTCTCCCTCTCCCTTCCTCTCTGAAATCAATAAAAATATATTTAAAAATAAATAAAACATTTAAATCAATTTTATATGGATTACATGTTGAAATGGTGTTCATAAGTCAGGTTAAATAAAATATATCATTTAAATTAGCTTAATGTGTTTCTTTTTACTTTTTTTAAAACGTGGCTATCAGAAATTTAAAAATTGCATCTGTGGTTCACGGTATATTTCTACTGGAGGTGCTGACTTAACTCCTGAGGACTGCAGCGCCTGAGGACTGGAATCTGGAGGGGGTCGTTCCTGGAGGCCATAGCAACCCACGACACAGATGAGAAAACTGAGGCCTAGGGCGGGGAGTGGAGCGATCAGCCCGAAGGCACACAGTGGATTTGCAGCAGAATTTGCAGCTGAGCTTGGGGTCCAGTTTCCTCCTTCCCTGCCTCTCTGGATGTGGGTTTGAGCCACAGGCCCACCTGCCGAATGCGAGGGCACTCGCCCCTCCACTGCCTGTGTGCACACTGGAGGGAAGTTTGAGGCCACGGTTAGGCCTGGGACCCAGCCCAATGCAGCCACAGCTGCAGAGGGCCCGGTGTGGCTGAAGGACAGCGTCGTTCTGTCCCCATAGGAAGCAGCGATGCTTCTAAGCATCCCGTTTTCAATGGGAATCGTCACAGTGCCCCCCTCCCAGGATGCCTGGCAGCATTAAGCGAGTCAACGACATAAACATTCGCATGTGCTTGACCCTGGGTCAGTCTCAGAATATGTTTTCCGTTACTATTCGCCGTAGTGCGATTGCTCAGGGCCATCATCCCTCACGTAGGGTTGGACTGGCTGAGTGGGGCGGCCCCCATGTCTGGCACACAGTAGGCACTCAGTGCTGTTGACAACACTGAGCCAGGGGCTTACCCACGGTCAGCCGAGTTCCCTTGCCGAAGGTCAGCGTGGGGGTCCCGATGGTCATGCAGAAGTAGACGCCGCTGTCAGCAGGCTGCACGCTCCCGAGGGTGAGCACGGACTTGGATGCCACCTGACTCACACCGAGCCTCTCCCCCTTCACGTCCTTGCTGTACACAGGCGTCTTCTTAGAATCCACGGCCGCCAGGAACTCATGGTGACTGTCCGCGCTTGGGGCCTTGCGCTGTCTCAGCCAGTAGATAGGCTTGTTTTGGGAGATTTTGTCTTCACAGGTTAGGCTCACTGCGGTGTTGGTCTGGACCACCTTCTCCCCAGGGGTCTGCTGGAGCAAAGAGCTGCCGTGGAGAGCTGTAAGAAGCAGAGACCATCAGCCCATTTTCCTGGCCTCAGAGTCGCCCCGAGCTGAGTATCTAGAGCCGCGGAAGCACCGGCCCAGTTGCAGAGTCTGGGGGCGGTTTGTACATTAACCGGCGGTTCCTGGACTCGGAAGCTCGAACACCCCACCTCCTAGGAGACCATCTGCAAGGCGGTGTTCACTCTGTCCAGCTTTATCAAGGGGGCAGGGGAGAGCTGCCATTTGCGGACTGCGAGCCGATAAACCTGGCTCTTTCCGTAATTATCTCAACCGAGCCTCAAACTTACTTCGGGATTTTTATCTCCTTTACACAGACGAGGAAACTGTGGCACCAAGTTACTTGTTCAAAACCCCGCTGACAGCTGGTAAGTGACCTGGGATTCAAACTCAAAGATTTGCCCTGGCCAGGTGGCTCATTTGGTTGGAGTGTCATCCTGTGCTACAATAGGTTGCCAGTTCAATTCCCAGTCAAAGCACAAACCTAGGTTGCAGGTTTGATCCCCAAGTCTGGGTACATACAGAAGGCAACTGGTCAATGGATGTTTCTCTCTCATACTGATGTTTCTCTCTCTCTCTCTCTCTCTCTCTCTCTCTCTCTCTCTCTCTCTCTCTCTCTTTCTCTCTCCCTTCTTCCCTCCCCTCTCAATATATCCTCTAGTGAGGACTCAAAAAAACAACAAAAAACTCCAAGATTCAAAGTCACACGTGTGGTCTCTTTCACCTTGCCCTGCTGCAACTCACTGTATAGACCTTCAACAGGTTCCAAGGAGTGGAGGGAGGCCCAGGCAAGCTGGGAGAGGCGCTCAGAATCCCAGGCAGAGCACAGGGTGGGACTGGCCAACCGGAGAGGGCCAGCCACCGCCTCTGGACATGGATGACAGCCAGCAGCGGCACTCACTCCTCCGTGGTGGGCTAATGACCATCATGCCCAAGCCCAGCCATTGAGAGCTCCCTGGATCCGCCTTCTGAGTGGAAGGACAGAGCCCAGAAGCAGGGCCAGGAGCTCACTTTAATCGCAGAGGGGAAGCACTGTGAGCCGGGGGTTCCTTTACGGAGCAGAACTCACAGCCCTGGCCCTGAACCTAGCCTCCACACTGCACCTGTCTCTTCTCCTTAAAAAGAGGGCAGCTTGGCCAACCTGTGTGGCTCGGTGGTTGAGCATTGACCCAGGAACCAAGAGGTCGTGGTTTGATTCCTGGTCAGGGCACACGCCCGGCTGCTGGCTCAATCCCCAGCGGGGGACATGCAGGAGGCAGCCAAGGGATATCTCTCTCTCATCAATGTTTCTCTTTCTCTCTCTCTCTCTCTCTAAAAATCAATAAAAACATATTAAAAATAAATAAATAAGTAAATATAAATAAATAGAGCACAGCGTAAGGCCATTGAATTGACTGCCTCTGAGAGTTCAAGTGTCCCAGAAAGCAAACTGCCGAGTACTGTACATGGTAAATCATATCCATGTGTCCAGGGGTTGTCACTGGCAGCGAGTGACACGTTAGCGAGGAGGGCTAGAGTGGGTCTTTTGCAGTGAGGCCCAGCCAACTGGACCTGACTCAGTGAGCCTTCCATTTCAGCTGTTGGATGGAAGGAGGGTGGGCAGCGTCCCAGAAGCATCGAGGCACAGGCCTGGGTGAGCAGAAGAGGCCAGAGAACAGGGTGTGTGTGTGTGTGTGTGTGTGTGTGTGTGGACATGAATGACAACCAGCACACGTCCAAGAGGAGGTGGAGGCCCGTATTCACAATCCTACCTATACTTGTTCTCGGGCTCCGTGGCCCCATCGCCTTTCCTAATGCTGTCGAGATGCACGTAAACTCTTTGACTCCACTCACAGGCCGCTCTGAGCTTCCACTTGCATCAAGAACGACATGATGGCACCTGGGCCTTTGCTTTTCTCCTCCAAAACCCTCCTGCCTTGTCAGCAGAGTAGAGGATCTATCCCGTTCTGGGACGCTGACTTTTTGGGGGACATCAGAAGAGTCAAAAATGCCAACATTTACTGAACTGTGCCAAGCACAGTGCAGGAATGATCTCCTTTAATCCTCGCCAAGTCCTGCTTCCCACCCATTTTATACACGAGGAAACGGAGGCTTGGGAAGCATAAAGACATGTTCAGGGTCACACAGCCTGTAGGTGATGGGTTCGGATTCAAACCCTGGTCTGCAACTCCAGAACCTGAGTTTTTTGACACTCGCTGAACCGAGGAAACCTGTGGTTCCGGGATCGAGGTCATGTGCTCGTGTGCACATAGTGGGGCCACAACTAGACAGACTCAAAGACCTTCCAAAAAAGACCATAAGTGACTCCTCAGGGGCACAGAGGTCAGAAGGGGTGCCAGGCTGCTCGGGTCCCTTCCGCCTCCTGCACCCAGACACGCACACTTCCTGGTTGAGACACACCCTGGTCTCTCGCTGGTGACCACTGGCTTTTCAGGGCCTGAGGCTGCACACCCTGCCATGGCCGAACCCTAACCTATGTGCCGGACACCTAGCCAGGCCTTGCCACACGTGTGGTCTGCTGGGTTCTTTTCTTCCTCTCAGGAACCCATTCTCAGAGGAGCCTGCTGCTTCTGAAACGATGGGCAATATGCAGGAGCTCTGAATGGCCTGGACCGGCTTCTGCTTCGGACGCTATTGCTCCCTGGACCAGAGCCGCATGGGTGGGCTTTGTCACCCCTAAAGGGTGTCAGGCTTTGGGCTTTCGGGCAAGGCAGCAGATCGCCCACAGGCCAGTGGGCACTTTGGGGGGGAGGGGGGACGGAGGGGTTTTTCTAAAAGACAGTGTGACTGGGCTGAGCCAAAGGGACAGTGGAGACTCCCTGCTCCATCCACGACCCACGACCGGCTTCCAACCCTCATACCGGGGAGCCCAGTCACACCGCACACCCAGCCCAGGGGCCGCAGGGAACAGGGGCCCCAAGGGGATACCGGCCACACCTGCTGGAGAACGGGCCACCGCCTGCCCTTTGGCAGGGTGTACGGCATAAACTTGCCCGGAAGTAATGGAGATGTGTCTGCAGAGCCTGGGCCAAGAGTGGGACACCCACACCAGGCCTGTCCCTGAACAGGGCGTTCCCCTTCCTCTCTGGATACCTTACTCTTTCCCTCTTCTTCCTTCTTATCTCCCTTCCTTTCCCCTTCTCCTTCCTTTACTGCCTCCCTCCCTCCTTCCCTTCCCGTCTCCCCTTCTCCTGGCTCCAGGCTTTTGGGCAGAGATGGCTCAGCCCTGGGGCTCCCCAAGCCTCTTTCCTTTCCACCCTCAGGGATGGTGCCTGCTGCGCTGCCCCTGGTGTCCCACAGCCAGGCTCCAGACTCACACTACCAGGACAGCCTTCCTCAGCTCCCTGGCTCAGGCTCTGCTGGGACCCGTGCAGACACCCCTCCCCCGCTCCCAGGCCCCGTGGCCCCCAGTCTCCCCACCTTACCTGCCAGCTGTGCTGCGAGGAGGAGCAGCCAGAGCCAAAGCCACATCTTGGCGCCGAGACACCTGGTCCCCGCGGGGCCCTGCGGAGACTGCCCTGGGGTGGGTGCAAGCAGCGGCGGGCGGGGCAGGGGAGGGGGGGGGGTGGCTACTGGGAGGAGGCGGGACCTGGTGAGTCTGGTGTGAGGGTGGCAAGGTCTCCACTCTCATCCTCTCCGCATTTCAAAGGTCTTCGCTCCCTTTCCCAAAAGCACACTAGGACCCCTGCTCTCAGGGAAGGGGGTGACACCACTGTGTGGTCTCCTCCATGGCTCCATGTGACAGTTAAGGCAGCTGAGGCTCGGAGAGGTCAGGCTGTTCAGGGTCCCCCAGGAGTGAGCCGTGGAGAGGAACCCTAACTCAGTCCCTTCTTTCCTTTTTGAGTCGCTATTGTGAGCCTCCTGGGTGCCCTCTGCTCAGCAGGACTGGAGTGACCAAGAGCCAGGCCCCGCCCTCAAGGGCGCACACTTGAGGGGGGAAAGGGAAGTTCACTAGCTGTGCCACACAGTGTGATGCTTGAGGAAGGTAAGCTGGGGTTCCAGAGAGGGACCTCAACCCTGCCCTTCAGAGCCGTGATGAGCTGAGAGTCTGGGGCTCCCCTGTGGCCCCCACAGGTGCAATTACTGTTAAAAATAGCACTGAAGTGGGAGGTTAGCAGCTGGACAAAGATGCTGGCATTGAAGCTGTGTGTGTGTGTGTGTGTGTGTGTGTGTGTGTGTGTGTGTGTGTTTCTGGCAGCTGTCTGCCGGTGTGTCATCAGCCCATCAGGGACATTTGTCAGGGAGTCTTCCTGTTCCAATGGTGATTACACAGAGGAAAGGGGTTGGGTGGGGGAGGGGGAGGGAGGTGTTCCAGGAGGATTGCTGGGTGTGTGAGGGCCTGGTTAAATTTATTCTTTGGCACTTTGTTATTTTTGATGCTGTTGTAAGTGGAATTGCTTTCTCAATTTCCTTGTTAGAGTGTTCCGTGGCTAGTGTATGGAAACAAAAGTGATCTTCTGTGTTGATCTTGTACGAAGGTGGTTGGGAAGAGCAGTGGGCCAGGTCTCCGTGGATCTTAGCTGGATCAGTACCTTACTTGGATCTTTCAGTACCGGGATCGTGATGTTCTCATTTGATAAATGGAGATACGATGCCAGCCTTGCTTATCTCAGTGGACTTTCTACAGGGACAAAGGGAAGCACGACTTAATTAAAAAATATCTTTATTGATTTCAGACAGGAGAGGAGAGGGTTAGAGAGATAGAAACATCAACGATGAGAGAATCATTGGCCTTCTACTGGGAATCAAGCCTGCAACCCAGGCATGTGCCCTTAGCTGGAATTGAACCTGGGACCCTTCAATCTGCAGGCCGATGCTCTATCCACTGAGCCAAACCAGCGAGGGCAGGTCTTATTTTTCAAATGTTTGTTTACTTGAACTCTGAGATGAAGCCTGGCATTCTCAGGGGGAAAAGGAAACGGGGAGGGGGGGGACATTTTGTAGGTTTATGGGGCCTATGTTAACTGTCTCCATGTTTGAGTAGTGAGGGGGAGCTATTGGCATTTAGTAGATGAGAACTAAGGATGCCAGATGTTCTACAACTGTGGGGTGGCACCAAACAACAGGCAATGAACTCCCACAGCCTGCAGGGCTCAGAGTCCTTCCAGCCTGTATTCAGGTGTGGCACCTCACTCCGCACGACCCAGGTCCGTTTTATACCTCACAAAGCCTCACTACATCTATCTTTCCTTCTTTGTATTGCATTCATGATTTTAACTTAGGGCCTAGAACAATGACTGGAATTCAATGTGTTACCTAAGCAAATAGGTAAATGCCTATTTTCCTCTTGGGATGTTTATTTATTTATTGTTTATTCATTGGCAGAAATTTTGTCTATTAGAACTATATCAGTCAGGGCCAAATCAGCAGACAAGCCATACCAGTAACTTAAACAGAGAAAAGAAAAGATAGAGAATGTGTAACTAATAAAAGATGGTTAATTGCCAAAAGGAGGTACAAGAAGACTCTAAGGCAGGGACCAGCAAGCTTTTTCTGTAAAGGACAGAAACATTTTAGACTTTGTGTAGTACCAGGCACAACCAAATATATTACATAAGTAATTATGTAACAACACAGAAAACAAATGTTCACTTTTGTATTGATAAAAGTAAAAATAGAATAATTGAGTATAATCTTCGGAATAGGGTCCTTTATTAAGCAGAATGGGTCCCATTTTGTTGGGATAACATTTTGCTCAGTTGGAGTTCAAATGTGTAAACCATTCTTAGATGAAGGGCAGAGATATTTGGCCAGCAGGCTGTTTTTTTCCTTTTTTTGTACTTGGACATTTTATTTACTATATATATATATATATATATATATATATATATATATATATATATATATTTTTTTTTTTTTTTTTTTTACAGAGAGGAAGGGAGAGAGAAGATAGAGTCAGAAATATAGATGAGTGAGAAACATTGATGAGCCGCCTCCTGCACACTCCCCACTGGGGATGTGCCCACAACCAAGGTACATGCTCTTGACCGGAAACGAACCCTGGACTTTTCAGTCTGCAGGCTGATGCTCTATCCACTGAGCCAAACTGGTTTCGGCTCTACTTGGACATTTTAATGAACTACCCTCCATGTAGCTTCAAGTTACCAGGACACAGGCCCCGCCAACACCCTTAATCTTCTCCTTGGCTCCTCTGCTGAAGAACTTGCCTTCACAATGCCAGGCTGCTTTGGGAGCTTTCTCTTCCCCAGGACTTTGTAGTAGCCAATCATACCACATCAGTGATAGAAACAACTCCAGTCTTGCTTTTGGCAGCATTTACCCGCGTCTGCTCACTGAGCAGGACCCACAGTTTATCAAGGTTGACAGTTGAGCTGAAGCTCTGGTCCCTCTTTAAGTGGTAATGCCTCGTACCAACTTTCCCAAAGTAACCTGGGTGATATTTGTCAAAGTTGATCCAAGCCACCAGCATTACCGTGGCCCCCGGGGTGCTTCCTGCGCTTGCCAATGCGGCTGTGGCCTTGGCTCATGTGGCCCCGAAGTTTTTGGGTCTTCCTGAGCCTGGATGGCATGTCTGTGGCCCAGCTGCTAGAGCTGCAGGCTGCTTTTTGCCCACCTGTGACCTCTGATAGAGGGTGAACATGAAAGGGACAGAAAGTTGGAAGGGGTCCTCCCCACATGGCGGATTCAAACGGCTGCAGAGAACATGGAGGCCACAGGTGACACAGCCCACTACTGACAAACTTGTCAGAGGCCATGGGAGGCAGCTAGATCTCTCACACACACAGAGGCACAGGTTTGAGGCCCCAGAAAACTGGCAACTGTGGAAAAAGCAGTCCCAGCCTCCTGCTCCCAGTGTAAAATGTCCCTCTGGCGCCCTCTACTGGCAGACCAACATAAAGCCAACTGGCAAAGGAGATAAGCCCAAATTCAATTTCACAAAACTGGGCAAGAAGTGGTTTTTAGCCGTAACCCCGTTTGGCTTAGTGGTTAGAACATTGGCCTATGGACTGAAGGGTCCCAGATTTGATTCCGGTCCAGGGCATGTACCTTGGTTTATAATCACTGTGCAGGAGGCGGTTGATCAATGTTTCTCTTTTATTGATGTTTCTAACTATTCCTTTCCCTTCCTCTCTGTAAAAAAAAAAAAAAAAAATCAATAAAATATATTTTTTAAAAAGAAGTAGTTTGCTGGTAAGAGACAATAATTTGATAACTGGCACAAGAGATTCTAATATAGAGAGCTGCAAATATAAGGTTTTTCAAGAATTTCCTAGAAAAGGCCAATAAAATAAATGAGACTTATGATGATATGAAAAGGGATCAACAAGAAATAAAAAATACATTGTCTGAAATAAAAAAATATTATACAGAGTCCTAAAAACAGAATGGAAGATCGCAGGAATCAAGTCAGAGATTTGGAACATAAAGAGCCAGAAGACACTTCTCCACAGAAGCAAGAAGACAAGAGAATCCAGAAAGTTGAAGATAATGTAAGAAACCTCTGGGACAACTTCAAGCGAACCAACATCAGAATTATGGGGGTCCCAGAAGAAGAGAGAGAGCAAGATACCGAAAACATATTGGAAGATATAGTGACAGAAAACTTCCCCCACCTGGTGAAAGAATTAGACTTACAAGTCCAGGAAGCACACAGAACCCCAAACAAAAGGAATCCAAAGAGGACCACACCAAGACACATCATAATTAAAATTCCAAGAGCAAAAGACAAAGAGAGAATGTTAAAAACAGCAAGAGCAAAGAAGGTAGTTACCTATAAAGGAGTACCTATATGATTGTCAGCTGATTTCTCAACAGAAACCATACAGGCCAGATGGAAATGGCAAGAAATATTCAAGGTGATGAATAGCAAGAACCTACAGCCAAAAATACTCTACCCAGCAAAGCTATCACTCAGAACTGAAGACCAGATAAAGAGCTTCAAAAATAAAAAAAAAAAGCTAAAGGATTTCATCACTGCCAAACCAGAATTATATGAATTGCTGAAGGGGGTTCTTTAGGAAGAGGAAAATAAAGATAAAAATTATAAACAAAAAATATGTAACTATTAACAAGAGAATCTAAAAACCAAGGGAATTAAAAAAATCTGATGAACAATATTAACTGGTGAATATAATAGAACCAGAGGTATGGAAGAGGAGTGAACTGATGATTCTCGGGGGGAAAAGGGCCATGGGGGGTGTGGGAAGAGACTGAACATAAATTGTGCACCTATAGATGAGGACAATGGGGGGTGGGGAAAGGGCAGAGGGTGGGGTGGGAACCTGGTGGAGGGGAGCAATGGAGGGGAAAAAAATGAGAAACATTTGCAATAATATGAGCAATAAAGATTTAAAAAAAAAAAGAAAGAAAAAAATCAATGGAAAAATATCCTCGGGTGAGGATTTACAACACAAAATAACAATGGCAAGGAAAACAAACAAGGAAACAACCAAAAAACCCCATTTTCCTCTACTAGTTCCACATTTTAGTGTTTATATTTATATCTTTACGCCACCTGGGTTTTGTATTTACAGAGTTTGAGTTGGGAATCTAAATTTGTTTTCTTGGTGGCGTCACTGTCATTGAATCCAGCCTTCCCAGCGCATCCCGATCATTTAAGATCGGAATGATGTTCCCGATGTCCATCAGCAGCAGCTGCCGAGGATGGCCTCATCCCACAGGTCCCACAGGCCCCGCTGCTGCGGGCGCCCCTCGCCCCGGGGCCGCTTCTTCCTGCCGGACAGGCTTCGCTCCTTGGTGACTCCCTGTTCTCCGCTCTTCCCTCGTCCTGGCTTTTCTTCTCTCCCTGGCTCGCCCTCCTGCCTCCTCCCCTTCTCTCCGCAGGCCTCTCCCTCCGCACCCCGCTTCCTCTGCCGCAGCTTTGCTTGCAGCTCCAGGCTGATGCCGCCTCCCTCCTCCCCGGACCTTCTCCCGGGGCCTGGCTCCAGGTGGCCGGCCTGATGCACCCCAGGCCGGCGGGCAGCGTCTCCGCCGCGTGCTGCGCGGGGCCCCGGGGTCCCGCCTCGCACAGGCGGGCTTGGAAGCCACGGGTTTTGGAAGAAATGATGATTTTTCTGACGGTGGAGTAGAGAGTCCAGGCGTGGTGCGGAGCGATGGATGTTGGCCCATTGGGGTAAGCGGCTGCCCACTGTCCTCTGCCTTTTGTGGGGCCCCGGGAACCCGGGGGAGCCCCTGAAGGGGAGGCTGGGCTGCAGCATTGGGGGCCCGGGAGGCGCAGTGCGGTCCCTCTCTGTCTCCTTCCTGAAGCGGGTCTCTGGCTGTAACCCTCGGGCTCTCTGCTTCCTGATATACTCTTCCAGTTCCCGCTGAAAATCGTCGAAAGTCACAGGGTTTTCCATTCTGTGGACCGCGGACGAGTCTCTGTTGGGGAAGATGAAGGAAACCCTTTCTTGTTAAATGTACCATTTTACCATGAATGCATTTGCCATGGAAAGGTCAGGTTCTCAGATCTCTAGTGGAGATGATACCATGTTCTTATATGTAAACACCGTGTAGACATTGATGCTGAAAATGTGTATTTTTGACACAGACTGAAAATAAAATAAACGGACTAAGAAAATGAGTCTTAAAACATTGTCAATTTAGGACCTAGACATGTATAATAAGTGTATAAGATTTATCAGTGGTTATCCCTGCGGAATCTAGGCCAAAACCTGAGCATGTATCCAGACACACAGATCTCCCAGCTGGATGGGGTTTGGGGATTACGGATAGTTTTTCTTAATTACACTTTGTGATTTTTGTTGTTGTTGTTGCCATAAATACTATTACTTGTGTAATAAAAATGAGAGCCCAGCTTCTGTGACTTAGTGGTTGAGCATTAATCCAAGAACCAAGAAATCCCTGGTTTGATTCCTGGGCAGGGCACATGCCACAAGTATAGGCTGGGGCTGGGTTTCAGCAAGCCTGCTCCTGGTCTGAGTGCCGTTGGGCAGATGTTGATTGGAGCCAGGCGAGTTGCTTACTCATGTGTCAACTTGCATAACTGTCTTATTCTCTCAGTGTCCTCCTGTGTGGTGTATGTACCCTGTGGTGTGAGTTGCAAACTGGTGTGATATGTCATGTTCTCTGCCTACCTGCCCGTGACACACGCTCAGTGAGCATGTGCCCTGAGCCAGGTGGTGTGCTTGGTATAGGGCACGTATGTGAATTAAACAGGTATTCTCTGCTCTGGGGAAGCTTATAATCTCATGCAGTGATTTTCAATTTTTCATCCCATGGCACACATAAGCTAATTACTGAAATTTTGTGGCACACCAAAAAAAGGTATAATTTTGACTTATCCACATTGGATGGCCATTGTGTGTTGGCTGTTGCTGTTGTTGTTGCTTTAAAATGTTTTTTGTTTGTTTGTTTGTTTGTTTTTAGAAAGAAGTAGAAGGGCAGAATCAGCATTTTAACCTCTCACAGCACCGTTGGGTGGTGGTAATCAGGGCTCATGTGCCCTGAGCCAGGTGCTATACTAAGCCCCCAGGCCATCTGCATTTAGCCTTTACCTAAGGCCTCAGTCTCTCAGACCAGTGGTTCTCAACCTTCCTAATGCTGCGACCCTTTAATACAGTTCCTCTTGTGGTGACCCCCAACCATTAAATTATTTTCGTTGCTACTTCATAATTGTGATTTTGCTATCATTACGAATCATAATGTAAATATCTGTGTTTTCCCGTGGTCTTAGGCAACCCCTGTGAAAGGGTCTTTCCACCCCAAAGGGGTCGCGACCCACAGGTTGAGAACCGCTGTCTTAGACCAACCACAACTGCCAACCTCCCTACCCCCCAACCCCAACCCCTGCGTTTTTCTAGCCTTTTAATTCCAGCCCTGGAACCTCGGCTCCAGGTTGTTCCTGGTGTCTCTACCCACAAAACCCTTTTCATCAACTTCTACCCTTCATGTGTCTTCTAGGTTGTCACTTCCCTGCCGGCTCCCTCAGCTTTGTTTTTCTAGTTGGAATGCTCTGTGTTAACATGGCCCACTATGGAGTAGGAAGCAAAATTTGCAAAAAAAATAAAAAAAATAAATCAAATAAAAAAAGTCCATCACTTGAAATCAAGTTCTTTAGGGCACTTCCTTCTGCTTAGGGCTCTCCTCCCAGAACCAGGGGATTCCAGTCCATCTGTCTCCAAGGTAACTTGTAGGAAGTTGGGGAGCTTGCTCTTCCTGCAGGCTCCCCATCTCCATTCAGACCAGACCTCAGGAGGTCCCCGCCTTCCCTTTCTTTTCCCCACACCTCACAGGCAATGCCATCAGCTGCCTTGCTTTCAAATGCCTCCAGAATTGGGTCACTTCTCTCCACCCAATTGTTCCTGCACGGCCAGACGGCCAGACCGCATCTCTGCCATTGCCTCTTCAAGGTCTCCAGTTCCCGCTGAGTCAGTCCCAATTCAGCAGCCCAGTCGTCCTTTTCACGTGATATAATCCTGGCTAATGTCTGCTCAAACCTATCAGGGTTCCTCCCTCACTCAGAAGGACGCTCAAATCTAAGTGCCCGTAGGGCCCGGACACTAAGGTCTTTGGTTCTTTTCAGACAACCTTCCTCTTGCGTCTCCCTTCTAGACATACGGTCTCCCAGCTGGATGGGAATATCCAGTCGATCCCAGCCTTTGTACTTCTCCACCCTTGAGCCTGCAAAGCTGTTGATCTATTCATCCCCACTGGAGGCTCCTTGACTCCCTATGGCTCCTCCCCCAGCCCCTGGGGCACCCCATGCCCTTTACCTGCCTTAGTTTTTCTTCATGGCTGCGCTTACCACCACCCAACGGTGCTGTGAGAAGTTAAAATGCTGATTCTGCCTTTCTACTAAACTCCCAAGGGAGTTTGGGTCTAAGATACCAAATTTTAAAATTGAGTCTGTTTTCACTCTGGCTGGGTAGCTCAGTTGACTAAACCATCATCACCTCAATATGCCACAATTGCAGGTTTGATCGCCAGTCAGGGCACATCAAATAATGAATGCATGAGTTAGTGGAGTAACACATTGATGTCTCTTTCTGTCTCTCCCTCACTTCCTCTCCCTCTCTTCCTAAAAATCAATAATTAAAAAAAAAATAGGTCTACTTTCTATTTTATCCTAGTAGAACACAAGTTCCTCACCAAGGGGAGATTCCTCAACACATCAAATTTTGCTTAACACCAAGTAGATGCTTAATAAGTACTCTCTGAATGAGTAAACAGCAAAGAAAGGCCTTGACCTCCCCTCTACTGGTCACTAGGAACCTCAGACTCAAGGGTTCTACCTGCCGCAGCCATCCTCCCTCCCAAATAGCCCTTCGAATGTTGCCAAACTTTAAAGCAAAAGAGAAACATGTTTGGATGACCTCTTACCTGGAATCACCACTATGCCCTAGTTTATGACAGACATTTCCACAAACAGATGGGACCTCACCTCTTCAAGCCCACAGTCTTTGGGGTTGTGTAAGTGGAAGTCCCGTGGGCCCACAGGGAGCAGATGTTCACTGGCTAGAACCTCAGGAGGAAGTGAGGTGCCCCACAGAAAGCTACACTCGGGGCGGCTCCGGAGAAGAATCTCCACCCTGCCCTGGGAGCAGGGCAGCAGGGCACACCCTTTTCTTTGTCTCTGGATTTTGGGTTTTCGCACAGTTCCAGGCTCTAGATGGAAACAAATCCAATGAGTTTTAAAGTGATTTTGGGACAGTTAAGCTCATTGTCCTTAAAACCCTTAGGACCGAGGACCCAGTGCATTCTTTCCCTCCAGGAGCGCACTGAGCCTTTCTTTCTCCTCCCTCCCCATCTCCCTCCCCCTCCGCAGGGCACTTTACCATTAGCTCCCTCACTCCTAAGCTCCTAGGGCCTTTCCTGTGCCTCCATAACTTGTTTCCTAAGCCCATTTTTTCTAGGAATTACTTCTTCTACCTCTGTGATTTACCAAATAAATGTTCTCTTACAGTTTGGGACTTGGCTCTGAATTCTTTCCTAGCCAGAACCCAAGATCGAGGTTGCTGAACCCAGGTTTGGTCTGACCCCACCTGTCAAACACCTGGTTCCGCTCCCACCGCCTACAACATATTTAGTTATTAGGCCAGACAGAGAACCCCAGAAGGTAAGAAGGGAAAAGGTTTCCCCCCCCAGGATTTTGGTGAGCCAGCTGGGAAACTTCACTGGCTGGGTACTGCTGCTCTGGACTGCTGAGAGGTCCCGTGACCTCTGACAAGCACCTGCAGAACGAATTCTTACCATGCCAGTCTCCTGGACCCGTCTGCCTGTGCTGTCTGGTGGAAGTGAGAATGGTGAGGGTTCTTTTTCTAAATTTAGATTAGCAGAGAATATTTGTTTTTCTCCTGTTAATGTGTTTTATGTTAATTTGATTATTAGACCAGCTGAAGAACCTAGAAAGGTAGAAGGAAATGTTTTCTTCCCCCACATAGACATCATACTTCATTTGTTTTCCCATATTTATTTATTTTATTTTAATTTTATTTCCCCATATTTATTGAAAAGTCTTTCTTCCTTAGTGCTCTGAAGTGCTGCCTTTGTTATTAATCAAATGACTATCTGTTCACAGTCCTGCTTCTGGGTTCTGTTGTATCTTTGTATCACACCAATATCCTTCTGTCTTAATTACTAGTACAAGGGTTTAATAATAGGTCTTTATTATTTATTTATTTATTTTTATTGACTTTAGAGAGAAAGCGGGGGAGGGGGAGAGAGAGAGTGAGAAACATCAATGATGAGAGAAACCATTTATCAGTTGCCTTCTACATGCTGTCTACTAGGGATGAAGCCCACAACCTGGACATGTGCCCTTGATTGGAATCAAACCTGGGACCCTTCAGTCTGCTTGCCAACACTCTATCCATTCAGCAACCTGGCTAGGGCTAATAATAGGTCTTTATAAAATAGTAAGAAGCTAGGAAAATTCCAGGACAAGTGTAACAGGGGAACTAGCAGTTTGTAGTAATCCAGTAAATCCTATCTTTTCTAAACCAGGGACACTTAAGGGTATTTGTCCTCCTGAACCAGAGGGTAAATAACGTATTTCCCCGAAAATAAGACATCCTCTGAAAATAAGACCTACTTATAGGTTTTCTTCTGAGTGAAATATAAGGCATCCCCCCGAAAATAAGCCCCCCCCCCCTAAGAGTCATAAGAAATTCACCAGGAAATTCAGGAATTGGATTGTTATGATGATGTTCCAGAAAATGATGACATGATGATTGACATTGAATAAATGAGTAAATTCTTGATACTGTAGGATTCACAGTTTGTCTGCTTTGTGTTGACAACTACCATACTACTGTACTGTATACAGGTAATAAATTTCCTTTATTTTCATTTAACAGTAAATGTGTACTGCATTCTTCTTCATGGAAAAATAAGACATCCTCTGAAAATAAGACCTAGAGCATCTTTGGGAGCAAAAATTAATATGACACTGTCTTATTTTGGGGGAAACAGGGTAGCTTAATTCACCCTAATCAAGGAGACAGATTACAGAAATCCAATTAAGTGCCATTTGCTAACCACACCCAAGGACAGACGAATTAAGAAAATAAATCTCATTTCGGGACAGCAGCATGAAGCTGATGAACATTCTATTGATTCTGCCCTAAATGCCCAACCTTTAAAACATCCAAAAATGAAGTCCCAGTGTGCTCTCTCCCTCCAGGGAGCAAGCACTGCTGTGCCATTCCCTTTCACTCTCCTTCCCCCACAGACCTGTCCCCTGACCTCTAAGGGAACCCAGGAGAATGGAAACCAGGGGAGCCATGGCTAACTCTCTGACCTGCCTCCAAGGTCCCCTTTTCTCTGACTTCCCAGTGAGCCAGAACAGCTCAGCCTAGGCTCTCCTGCTGCTTCTTGTATGTCCTTCCTTGTTTCTTAGTCCTAAGCATGATCTCACTGTGTTCAATAAATTTCTGCTTGCTTTTCTATACTTTGTCTCTTGATTGAAATCTTTCCCTCAAGAATCAAGGACTTTGTGTTTCCCCAGTAATAGTTTTACTTACTAGATTGCCAGTTTATTAAACTCAGGAGCCTGAGCTAGTTTGGCTCAGTGGATAGAGTGTCGGCCTGTGGAATGAAGGGTCTTGGGTTCAGTTCCGGTCAAGGGCACATACTTTGGTTGCAGGTTCTATCCCTGGCCCCAGTCTGGGTGCTTGTGGAAGGCAATCAATCGATGGAACATTTATAAGCCAAAGATATACGGTTCTCACTTACTTTGTTAATGACAATATGCAAAACAGTTGCGGGTGGGTGTAAAAAAGGCTGTTTTAATTTGGCAATGCATCGAGTGTTCTGGATTATCAGACCTGGGAAATAACTCCAAGACTGCTTTGAACTTAAAAAAAACATAAACTTTTGTATTGAGTTTTTAGAAAGAAGGGCGAAAGAGAGACAAAAACATCCATGAGAAAGAAACAGCAACATGATGTGCTGCCTGCTGCACCATCACCCCTAAAGCCAGGATGTGCCCTGATCGGGAATCGAACCAGTGACCTTTCAGTTTTGAACTTTGTAATTTGACAACTTGGTTTTGAATTCCAGTTGGACACCTACAAGCTATATATGGTAGATTTGTCAGAGAAGATGGCAGCAGTAATTCTCTCTCTCTGTATCTACCCCTTGGGCAGTCCCCTCACATATTGTGGGGCTTGGCTTTATGACCTGCTTTGGCCAAAGGGACAACAGCAAATGTGGTACAAGCTGGATTTGGAAAGTGCCTGTGCTTGCCCTCATGCAGCGTTTGGAACTCAGTCACCTTGTACAAGCCCCGTGGAACAGTGAGAGATTTCTGGCATGTTCCCATCACCCAGCTGAAGATGAACTCCTTCCACCCCCAGATACTAGGCCCCTTGGCCTTCCAGCCCCTACTGAGTCAACACAGAAAACTCACAAAGTCGTGAAAAATAGATGTTTGCTGTTTTTATTTATTTTTAAATATATTTTTATTGATTTCAGATAGAGGGGAGAGAGAGATAGAAACATCAACGATTGGCTGCTTCCTGCACACCCCCTACTGGGGATGGAGACCACAACCAGGCCTTTGACCAGAATCGAACCTGGGACACAGGCCTGTGCTCTATCCACTGAGCCAAATGGACTAGGGCAATGTTTTCTGTTTTAAATCCTAAGTTGTTAGATGGTTTATGAGACAGCCAAAGTGTACTTACACACTACATGATTTTAGGTGCGTTTCTTAGTCACTCTGAGTCTGTTTTCTCATCTGTATATGAAGATATTATGTAATGTCTGTAATATGAATATATATACATATATCTGAATATATATCTGAATATATATAACAATATATATAGTTATATATATAGTTATATAGGGGTGCTGGCACAGGATAAATACTCAACATAATAAAGACAAGCTCTGCAGGCTGAAATGGTTCTACCCTCAGGCTTGGCACACTTAGTATTCTGTGAGCAATCTAGATGCTGAGAAAGCATGTGAAAGAACTGGAAGGATGGGGGAACAGTGGCCATTGCAGGAAGTTGCCTGTTCCAGGTGATAAAGGGAGGAGCAGAGAGGGGGGACTAGGCTCTTCCTTGACCCCCCTCCCTATCATGCTCTCCCTCCTGGAAATTGTTGAGGCAGGGGCAGTCAATAATTGAGCTGGCTCCTCCAGGAGCATCCTAATATATAAAAACCCTGTGTATGTCACATTTGCACAGCAGGCAAGAGGGCTGAACTGCTGACCAGCCCCACCTCTATGATCAGGCCTGGAGGTAGGCCTGGAGATGCTGACTGGCATAGAAAATGACCAATCAGAACCAAATCTGGGTGAATTGTGAGGAGCCAATGGCTGCCTAGGAGGTGGAGCTTTTGATGCTGACTGGCATAGAAACGGACCAATAAGAACCTATTTTGGGTGAACTGTGAAGGCAGAACCTAAGGTGGGGTCTGAGGGAAGATTTTAAGGGCAACAGCTATTTGGTGTAAGGTGTAAGAAAGTGATTCAATTTTTTAATGACTGGTTTGGCAGTACAGTGCATATAGCTGGCTTTTAGTCCAGGTATAGGGATTACGTGTTTTTGTCTGCCATGAGCCCTCCTGCTGAACAAGGCTTTCTCCCCCATTTATGTAATCCTATCCTATATATTCTATCTATACTACTAAAAGGGTAATATGCTCATTAGACTGGGTTGACCAGCCATCTTCCAGATGTCCAACTTCCTTTCGGACAAAGCCATGGTGGTGGGGGCTGAGGCAGAAGCAGTTAGGGGAATCAGGCCAGCAGAGGGGCAAGGTAGGGGCGATCAGGCTGGCAGGCAGGCAGTGAGTAGTTAGGAGCCATTCAGGATTGTGAGGGATGTCCCAGATTGGAGAGGGTGCAGGCCGGGCTGAGTAAACCCCTTCTGTGCATGAATTTCATGCAGCAGGCCTCTAGTAGATAAAGGACAACCCTCACAAGCAAGATGGATACCCAATTGTATCCTGGATTGCCTGGAGACCAGAATTCATAACAGCTGATGTTAGGTAGCCCTGGCTTTGGCAAGCACTGTACATTGTTGCTCATCTCCACAGCCACCATAAGGGAAACTGCATTGCTCTCTCCATTTTACAGAGATGCTGAAGCTCAGAGATTACACTGGCGCCTAGTCCAGTCTCCTTCCAAGTCTGAAGTTTGAACCTGCCCTCTTGAGCAGGGATAGAATCCTAGAAGTTGGTGTATAAAGGCACCTTGCAGATAGGTGCTGGCTGGATTTCAGGGGGTCTCGGGACTTCCTAGAGGGACCATGGGTAAAGAAATAGGTTTACCACTGGCCTCCAAGAGAAGGAGTGAGTCACCAGCCTCAAAGTATGAGAGACTATTCAGAGAATGGTGGGCACAGGACGTGTGTGTCTGTGAGTTAGAAGGCTAAATAAGGTGGTGACCCAGAGAGGAGTAAGGCTGAGTAAGGCAGCAGCTCAGCAAAGATAGGGAGACTGATTAGATGAAAGAGGATTGAGAGGGGGATAAAATGGGTTTAAATATGAATGAGCAAGGGATAGCAGATAAGGAATTTTTATAGTTGTATTGTGGCCTACCCAAAAGACCCTGCCTTTTATATGCAAACTGCCCAGTTATTACTCTTCCAAAAGAAAATCATCATTGAATGGGAACGGATCATTGATACAGAACAACAAAGGTAGAAATTAGAACTTTATTATAAATACTTATAAATGGATTTTGTATACTCTTTGAAATTTTTGAAACTATATGTAACCTATTATTTTAATGTGTTTTATTTATTATTATTCAGTCTATAAAATACAAAGAGCTTCAAAACCCCCCTCACAAAATATGTATCTAGCAGAGGAAAAAAGTATAAATTGGCTTGAAAAAACTAAGGAATATAAAATTACCCCACCCCAAACTAAAACAAACCTAATTAAGAAATAGATTCTACAAAGCCTATTAATCCTCCAATTCAAAATAAATGACTTTCAAGGGAAAAATATTTCCATCATAGCAATTTGATGAATAAAAGCAAAGCCACTGTAATTAAGAGAAATTACATTATATGCAAGAAAAATGTAATGAAGTTTCTAGAAAATGAAAAGTAATTTCCATGTTGGAGTTATCAGGCATACTAAATACTTTAAAGATTTATTTATTTATTTGAGAGAGAGAGAATGAGAGAAACATCAATTTGTTGTTTTACTTATTTGTGCATTCATTGGTTGCTTCTTGTATGTGCCCTGACCAGGGATTGAACCTGAAAGCTTGGCTTAGTGGGACCACACTCCAACTAACTGAGCTACCCGGCCAAGGCCTAAATACTTCTGTTCACTTGGCCTTTGTTAGAAGTGAAAGTACCTGTTTCCATGAGAAAAGTGCTATGAACATGAACATCATAAAGCCAAGCTCCTCAATAATTTTTCAGTTTAACCTCAGGAGAAGCAACTCGGGAGCTTCAAAATCCAAGGATAGACTGGTCCCAGAGCATCTCCTCCTCTGTCCTTTCGTTGCCTTGTTCCTTCTTCTCTTTTCTATGCTTACGATCCTCTTTCTTAGAGGCTGCATCTCGTCTTTTTCTCTCCCTTTGATTCTTAAGCTTCTCTGTGCTGATCCTGACTGTTTCTACCTCGGTGCTGGTTTTTTGAATGCTCCTGTGTTTGTCTAAATCTGTTTCCTCACAATCTTTTTTCCTCTTATGCTCGGGCTGCTTCTCCTCCGATTTTTCTCTGCCTTCCGGGTGCCATTTTCTCTTCTGGTGCATCTGTTCATGACCGGCTTTATGGGCACTGGTACTGTTTTCTGAGAAGTGCTTATAAACTCTAGATTGTACACAGTGTGAGCTATAATTATACTCTTGATGACTAAGGTTCAGGGGTGCTGGTTTTTCTGAGAAACAGTCCCTGGTGAATTGACAGTATCTCATGCTGTCATGAGCTGGTAGCCACTGAGGTGACTGGTTTTCCACTGTTTGTGAAACACTGCATGACCTTGGGTGGGTCTGGATGGTTTGAGGTGGGAGTCTTTGATCAAACCTTCTATACCTGGGTCTGAAATCAACCTCTTCTTTGTCCCTACAGGTTTGCAAATAGTCCTCTCTCATCTGTCTGAAACAAGTCTTTGGTTCTAAGCCTCTGGCTCTCTGCACTTGGATATAATCTTCAAGTTCATCTTGAAAAGAGTCATATGTCTTCTTTGAATGCTTCATTAGGATGACAACAAGGGATTTTCTGTAAAGAAGATAAAAGAAATTTATTTTTATTAGATTATTTTATTCTGAATATATCTTTGTTCTTGAAGAGAGCTTCAAAACAATACAAAACATAGAAGTCCAAACAAATTAAAACCTAATTCAGTATAAAAGTTAAATATCATGACTTTATATGCCAAAAAGGAACATCTGGATAGTCAAATATCTTCTAGGCTACTCACAAGGAACTTGATCTTTCTCAGAAGAGGGATGATGGGGCAGAAAGGAGCAGACATATAAGATTTTGTTGTAGGGCAAAAAATGTTAGGTATGTAGAGATGTGTGATAGGAACACATGGTGGGTAGCCTGATCTAAATTTCATGTATTTTCTATAGTTCTGATTAATTAGTTTCTGTATATTGTTTTCTCCCAAACAAAATTAAATAAACACACATACTCACGTGACTAGAATACTATAGGACTTAAAAATAAAAGGATGTTTTTAAAGTGGTTTGGGAATACTAGAAATTGGAAATTCAGCTATGAGATAAAACTCTCAGATACAGGACGTAAGGGAAAATGAGAGAACAGAGTTCCGTCTTTTCTATGTAGGGCTTAGATTTCATTCTGCTACTTCTGATTGGTGGTTAAGCATTCTAGAATGCCTTCTGGTTTGTTCTCTGGTGGGAGGGCTAAGGGAGGAAAAGGAGATGAAAGCTGAAAGGGAGTTAAATGGTGTACAGAAAAATTTCAGAAAAAAGTTAGAGAACATATAATAGTTTTTATTTGCTTGTTTGATTTTTTTTTTTGTTTTTCTGGGGGGTGACAGTACTATTCCTGCCTCCCTTTCTTTACACAGCCTAAAATCCTGCCTAAGTACAAATACAGCAGAGAATGTACTGATTATGAAATTATAACTCCTAGATATTTCTGGTGATACATTTTATCTCCAAAAATTAGCATAACCTTTGCAGAATCGAACAGTCTCCTTCCTTTAAAAGAAAAATAAGCCTAACATAGCACTCCAGATTCACTAATGTTATCTTATCTGGACATCTGAGATTAAAAAGGAAGTCTACATGAAACCTAATTTGGTGAGTTAGAAAATTTAGCTACTGTTTAACTCAAACAGTATAACAAATTCTGAATAGAATAATATAACAAATATTTGATTAAATATATACAAAAAATTGAACAGACACTTCAGAAAAGAATATATGCAATGGTCATGAAAAGATATCATTAACTGTCAGGTCAATGTCAAATAAAACCATAATGAGATACCACCATGCATGTATTAGAATGACTGAAATGAAAAAGACTGACAATACCAGTGTTGGTGAGGATGCACAATTGGAATTCTCTTACATTGTTGGTGGGGATGTAAAATGGTAAAGCACTTCACAAACAGTTTGGCAGTTTCTGAAGAAGTTAAACAGATGCCTACCATAGGGGCTGGTTATTCTACTCCTATATATTTACCCAAAAGAAAAATAAATATATGTCTAAACAAAGACATATATATATATATATATATATATATATATATATATATATATATATATATATAAAATCAAAGCAGCTTTTTGTAATAGCCTAAGAAAAGAAAACAATCAAGTGTTGATCAACAGACGAATGGATAAATCAAACACTGGTATCTATAATAAAAGCATAATACGCTAATTAGGCCAGATTGTTGAATGACCTTCTGGACGTCATTCCAGAAGAAGCTGCAACGGTAGAGCCCGAGGCAGAGGCAGAGGCAGTTAGGGGCAATCAGGCAAGTTGGTGAGTGATTAGGAGTAATCAGGTAGGCAGGTGAGTAGTTAGGGGTGATCAGGCAGGCAGGCAGTGTGGTTAGGAGCGATCAGGCAGGCAGGCGAATGGTTAGGAGTAATCAGGTAGGCAGGCGAACAGTTAGGGGCAATCAGGCAGGCAGGTGAGTGATTAGGGGTGACAGCAGGCAGGCAGAGGTGGGTAGGGGTGATCGGGCAGGTAGGCAGAGGTGGCTAGGAGTGATCAGGCAGGCAGGCAAGTGGTTAGGGGCATTCAGGCAGAGAGGCGAGTGGTTAGGAGCCAGCAGTCTCAGATTGTAAGAGGGATCTGGATGGCGAGAGGGTCCAGGCTGGGCTGAGGGACCTCCCTCCCACTCTCCATGCATGAATTTGTGCACCGGGCCTCTAGTATTCATAGAATGGAATACTATCAGTGGTAAAAAGGAATTAACTATTGATACACTCAACAACATGGATGAATCTCAAAATAATTATGCTGAGTTGAAAGAAGTCTAACAAAAGAGTACTTAGATGATACCATTGACATAAAACATTAGAAAAAGCAAATTAAACTATAGTAACAATGACTTTTTTTTAAACAGTGATCGCTTTGAGATGAAGCAGGAAGAGGTGGGAAGGAATGATTATAAAGGGCATTTTTTTTGGTATGGATATGTCTACCACCTTGATTGTGTTGGTAATTTTATGGGCATATACATCTGTCAAAAACCATCAAATTGTATACTTTAAATGTGTACAGCTTATTGTATATCAACTATACTTTAATAAAACTGTATTTAAAAAGCTACTAACAAGATTGAAAAGATGTCGATAATTATTGAAACTGAATTATGGGTGAATGAGTATTCACATTACTTTTCTCTACTTTCTGTTTGGAAAATTTTATACACAGTACAATATACAGATGATGAGTTATAGAATTGTACACCTGAAACCTATCATTTCATTAACCAATGTCACTCCAATAAATTCAATAAAAATGAAAAGAAAAGGAAAAAAAAGATTTTACTTCACACTCACTAGAAATGACAAATCATTTAAATGACAAATGATATTAAGTTTATGGATGGAAACTTCATTCAATATTGGTGGGGATATAAAATGCTGTAACTACTCTGGAAAAACAGTTTAGGAGTTCCTCAAAATGTTAAACATACAGTTACCACATGACCCAGTAGTTTCACTCTTAGGTATATACCCAAGAGAACTGAAAACCTATCTCCACATAAAACTTGAATACAAATGTTCATCAGCAGCAGCCTTATTCACAACAGCTAAAAAGTAGAAACAACTCAATGTCCATTCACTGATGAATGGATAAAATGTGGATATTCATACAAGGAATATTATTTATTAAAAAAAAAGAATGAAGTACTGACATATGGTACAACATGTATGAATCTTCAAAGACATGCTAAATAAAAGAAAGGAGTCATGAAAGACCACAGATGGGTGCAGAGGTCAATAAAGAGGTAAATGGAATCTTACCCTTATCAGGCTGAGAACTTGGTGGAAAAATCTGATCATATTCACCCATTAATTGCCTTCAGTTTTCTAGTATAAACTTTCCCCAAACAGTGAGACTGCAACAACTGGGGAGCTAGAAAACATGATACAAAGATTAGAAAACTAATTTTTGTCCATAACTTCACTCCTAGTTACCTGGAAACAACCAAAATATTGTTTTAAAGATTAAAACATTCAAAGTTTAGAATTATATCATCAACAAAGATCATCTGAAAATTCACAAACTCTATTTTCAATTGCTTATTTTGCTTCCTGTAAATCCGAAAGTAAAGCTCACTTTTTGAACATATATTTTACCCTGAAAAATATTTATTTTAGAACAAAGTTGACCCCAAATTTACAACTCAAAATTTTAATATATTTAGTCTGTACTAAGAGTTTAAAAATAGTTTTGCTTGTTTTCAAATTAAAGTATCAGCTTTAGTAGAAATAATCCTATTATTTAGAAGCCCTTTATTTTCAACCTTCTATATAATGTGAAATCCTTTGTGATTCAAACTATAGTACTACTCCAGATATGCTTTTTACAAAACTTATCTGTAAAAAGTTTAATTTTTGTTCAGTTATGTGGTATTTATGTCTAAAATAAAGGAAGGTAAGATAGATCATATTAAAATTTAAGGTAGTACTTTTTTTTTTTTTTTTTTGAAGATGGTATAGCAAAGGTGGAAATTTATTGAGGAACAAGTACAGACTCCCATGTGGGAAAGGGGAAAGAATCTCATAGCACAGACTCCCATGTGGGAAGGGGGGAAGAGTCCTTAAGACAATATTTTTATTCTTTCTATTTTTGTTGATTTCAGAGAGGAAGGGAAAGGAAGAGAGAGGAACATCAATGGTGAGAGGGAATCATTTATCAGATGCCTCCGGTACACGTGCCCCCCCCCCCCCCCCCTGCTGGGAATAGAGCTCACAACACGGGCATGCGCCTCTGATCAGAATCGAACGTGGGATCCTTGAGTCCACAGGTCGGTGATCCATCCACTGAGCCAAACCAGTGAGCCCGGGCTGTACTTTTAATTTTCAACTAAATATCCTTTCATGTACCATCTCAAATCTTATGCTTGGAAGACCATTCTATTAGTTTTTTGCTCATTAGAACTTTGGTTTAGAAATATTTAATAAGCCTATGATGATAAATATGATAACTAGAAGACCAGAGCATGAAATTCGTGCATGGGTAGGGTTCCTAGGCCTGGCTGGCGATCAGGGCCAATTGGGATCTTCCTTCTGGCTGCTGGCTGGGGCCTGCCTTACCCAGCTGCAGGCTGGGAAGTTCCTTCATTGTCACCTCCTTGTGGTCAGAGCACATCATTGTGAATGATTGAACTCCTGAGGGGACACTTTGCATATTAGCCTTTTATATATATATAGATATTTTTACTTAGTACAGAAAAAACTATTCTGAAGAAGTTACTGGGTCACCAGTAGGAATCTGGACTTTATGAAAATTATCTGTAGTTCTAAATTTGAGAGGCTGGTCTAATGAATCCAGCCTTGGAATTTTTTAAAATTAATTTTATATATATATATATATATATATATATATATATATATAATTTATTTATTTATTTATTTTTTACAGAGAGGAAGGGAGAGGGAGAGTTAGAAACATTGACGAGAGAGAATCATCGATTAGCTGCCTCTTGCACATCTCCTACTAGGAATGTGCACAGAACCAAGGTACATGCCCT